ATATTTGTCTGGGGGGGGGTAATTACCCCCTCTACCCCCCCCCCCCCTTTAAACCGCCCTTGGCAGCGGATAGTTTGGCGAGATAACAGGGAAGACGAGCTTAGTCATTTCGAGTTAAATACTATAACATATGGCACATCCAGTGCTGCTTTTCTTTCAACTAGATGTCTAAAACAAATTACAACTGAATGCACTTCACAATTTCCCATAGAAAGTCAAATAATCTGCAATGACTGTTATGTTGATTACGTAATAACAGGCGCTAATTCTATCGATGAGCTTATAGTCATAAGACAGAACTTATCGTCCATCTTCAAGGATTACGGGTTTGAACTCAGAAAATTTGCTTCAAATAATCCTAATGTTTTATCAGGGCTATCTAATGACAATTCCACTGAATATGTAATAAACGATTCTCAATCAACCAAAATTTTAGGAATTTCTTGGAATTCAGAAAGTGATAATTTTATTTACAGCTCCAAAAACATATCCACAGAACAACCTGTTACAAAACGTTTTATACTCTCTACTATTTCTCAGACTTTTGATCCACTGGGTCTTCTGGGTCCAATAGTTGTTCAAGTAAAAATATTGCTTCAAAAGCTGTGGCTTTTGAAGATCGCCTGGGATGAACCCATACCTAATGATCTTTGTCGAGTTTGGATTCATTTTGTCCAGCAATTATCTGATATGATTTCTTTGAAAATATCCAGACAAGTTACTTCAAAAAATCCAAAAAACATCCAAATACACGGATTCTGCGATTCTTCTATTAATGCCTATGGCGCATGCATTTATATAAGATGTGAGGATTTTCATGATGGTATAACTGTCAACTTACTTTCAGCAAAATCTCGTGTAGCCCCCCTTAAAGTGATATCTCTGCCTCGACTCGAATTATGTGGCGCATTATTGTTAACCAAATTAATTAAAAACATTTGTGTTATTTTGGACTTACCAATTAATCAAATTTTTTATTGGACGGATTCAACAATAGTGCTTTCTTGGCTTTGTTTGGAGCCTCGTTATTTAAAAACATTTGTGGGCAATAGGATATCAGAAATCCAATCACTTTCTGACATCAACAATTGGCACCATATTAAATCTTCCCACAATCCCGCTGATTTGATTTCCAGAGGTATTAATCCTCCCGAATTAAGAGTCAATAAACTATGGTGGCACGGCCCTGAATTCCTATCAAAATACTCTGAAGCGTGGCCTTCGAAAACTCACATTTCTAACTGGGCTCGTCAATGTAACGTATCCGAAATGCCGGAAGTTAATCCCAAATCTGTTATGTCATTCCTTGCGGGAAATCATTCAAATGATTTTGATGAAATATTTAATAAATTTTCTAGCTATAATAAACTTTTGCATGTAATAGCGTACTGTTTGAGATTTTCGAAAAATAGCCGGTCTTTTACAAAACAACGAGCCGTCGGACCGCTGTGTCAAACCGAAATATCTGCCAGTCTAAAATCTATTGTAAAATCAGTGCAAGCGAAAGCATTTCCTGAAGATATTTATAATCTAAAATTCCGTAACTCTATAAAGAAAAACAGTAATTTAAGTTCATTAAACCCTTTTATTGACGACTTTGGCATTTTGCGAGTCGGAGGGCGTTTGAAAAATGCACCATTGAGTTTCGAACAGAAACATCCCATATTACTTCCTCATAACCATCCATTAACAAAATTGATCATTACTTATGACCACAATAGAAACTTGCACTCTGGAACCCATGCCACACTATCATTTGTTCGACAACAATTCTGGCCTTTAAATGGAAAATCCTTGGTAAAAAGGGTCATCAGGTCTTGTATTCCCTGCTTCAAGGCCAATCCCAAATCAATAATTGCACAAATGGGAGATTTACCAAGCTCAAGGGTCACTCCATTTCATCCCTTTTTCAACACTGGTGTAGATTACGCCGGTCCATTTTTGCTTAAAGATTCCAAGTTCATGCATTTTTGTTTGTTTATCAACCAAGGCAATTCACTTAGAATTAGCTACTGAACTTAGTACTGCTTCCTTTATTTCTGCTTTAAAACGATTTACCGCTCGACGTGGTTTATGTCAAAATTTCCATTCTGATAATGGCTCGAATTTTATAGGAGCAAAAAATGAGTTTGCTGCAATTTATGCTGTTCTTAAAGATAGCAAGTTTCAGGACTTTCTTATTCAGAATACAATTCAATGGCATTTTATGACTGCGCGATCACCCCATTTTGGAGGAATATGGGAATCGGCTGTAAAGTCTACCAAGCAGCATCTAAAGCGAATCCTCAATAACGTTCCGCTCACCTTCGAAGAATTTCATACACTCCTGGTTCAAGTGGAATCGGTTTTAAATTCTCGACCATTAACCCCACTGACTGATTATCCCAATGATTTAGAAGTACTCACTCCGGGTCATTTTTTAATTGGCCGTCCGATAAATGCTGTACCCGAATTAGACATTTCCCAAGTACCCATGAATCGCTTATCCAGATATGCGCATGTTCAAAAGATGACGCAAAGTTTCTGGACACGGTGGTCAACAGACTATCTACACACATTGCACCAGCGGAACAAATGGAAGTTTCATCAACATCAAAATGACCTGCTAGGTTCTCTAGTGCTCCTAAAAGAAGATGGTCTGCCTTCATTGCAATGGCATCGAGGGCGTATAGTGGATCTTCATCCAGGTAGTGACGGTGTGGTGAGAGTAGTTAGTGTTCTAACAAAAAACGGCGTCACTAAACGAGCCATTGTGAAAATATGTTTACTTCCGAAGGACGATTTAAATTATTGATTTTCTTGTTTTTTAATTATCTTTTTACCATTTATATTTTTATATACAACTCAATTTACCCAGTATCTGCAAATTTTATAATTAACTTTTCCCGTTTTATTGTATACCTATCTTTAATGTTAATGATATTGAAAGCATTCAGTTGGATACTTTCAAGGGCGGCGGTATGTTTGCATTTTTTTAAATAATAAACAGCCTTTATCAAATTGAGTAGGCAGAATGAGAAACAATCGGAAAAATAATGCATAACAACCCGTTGTTGATAGAGTTGTCATTCAAGTTTTAAAAAAGTTAGTCACGATTTTTTAATTGTATAAAAATACCTACATAGATCAATCACTCAGAGCTGGGTCTATTCAATTAATAAACACTAGACGTAACATTGGTCCAAGTGTTTCCATTCAAGGATATCATCGCTGATATCCCGTAACAGCACCGCCAAGCAGCGCAATACCGAGAAGGTACCTATTCTTCAAGGTTGCGAAAAAATTGGGCACCTTGCCCTCATCAATAGGAAAATTCTCTCCTCTGCGCAGAGCATGCAACATGTATAATTCTGTTCAGGATCAGTGCGACATTTTTAACTGTAGTCTATCAGAAATTAAAAACGTGCGCTTAGCTCAGACATAATTGTTCTTTCCTGTATTTTTTTTGTATCTTACTTTGCTTTTTTAATATGTATTTATTTTAGTATTTATAGCTGTAAGTTTTCCCACTCAATAATTGGATGTATTTCTGTGAAGTGGTGTAGATAAAATAAAATAAAAAATAAAATTCTGAGCAGATTTCATGTGATATTCCCTATACCTAAGTTCAACTGTTTTGGAAATATTTACAGTTGAAAATTGACTTTTTGCAACTTTGACAGGCTGTAAAACCTGAACGGTTAATTTTAGAGGAAAACCGATTTTACATTCCTATCTTAGATTTTTATAAAATATCATTTGACACCAACTTTGAATTAAATCCATGATTAAAAATTCCAGTTAAATTTAATCTCCGGTTAAGTTCAAAGTTGGTGTCAAATGATAGTTTATGAAAATCTAAGATAGGAATGTAAAATCGGTTTTCCTCTAAAATTAACCGTTTAGGTTTTACAGCCTGTCAAAGTTGTAAAAAATTCAATTTTCAACTGTCAATATTTACAAAACAGTTGAACTTAGGTATAGGGTATGTCGCATAAAATCTACTCAGAACTTAACTTAGAATCCAAATATGCAATCACATACAGGGTGTTCCATTTAAAATAGCGATGTTGCCACTAGTTTAGAGTAGAAGCAGCAATACCGCATAAACAAAAATATTTTTAAAGTGTAGATTATGGTCGTTTATCCCGGTTGCCAAATTTTCAAAATGATCCGCTTTTTAGTTCTCCATTAACGTCTAATACGCCATCCACCGTGGGACACCCTGTATAAACGATAAAACAGTCAAGTACACAAAAATCGCGAATAACACGGAAAGCAAGACACTCTTAAGCCGAATTTCAAATTGATGAATTTACTTTCCAATTCTTCTTTTTTTGTAATACAATCCTGTTGCGTGTCTCGTTTGACAGTTATTTCTCGCGGGTTCTCACCCAAGCTATCTCTATCTCTTTTTGCGTGCAGGATTGGAAAGAGACATGTATATGCCGAACTGCTTTTTCAATTGGAGAGATTTGTTCACTCATTGAGCGCATGCGCAAGATATGGGACAAAATGCTCCTATTGGTTGGAGAATTTGGCCTTAAAAAATATGGAGAGTTGTACAACTGTATCGGTACGGTATTAACTGTGGCACCAGCACGACCCGATTATTACTGCCTTGTAACGTCACGACCCATAGAAATACGTTTTTGATCGCGTCGTGAATTTCGAATTATTTAGAGATAAGATATTAAATTTTTTTCCTAATTGCATCATTTATTAGGATGATTGTTATTGTTTTTTGTTATTTATTCCATATTTAATTTGATGTGCAAGTTCCCTATTCTAGACATAGGCAAATTTCAAACACGTTAATACTATGCTGTTTGCACATAGAATTCTGATTAGATTGAAATAACAACAACGCTTAAACAACGAAGAGAGAAGACACAACCTATTAAAATATAAGAAAATGGGACATTATGTATGTACAGTATATTGCTAAAATGTTACAAACAAAATAATATCCATTTTGACCTATAAAAATACAAAAATAAGTGACACACATTTAATTTTAGCATGAACATCGACGACTTCTCTAAAATATTTCCAACAGCTCCTGGGCTGGATAATGAGTTAGGTAGAATCGGAATGACTTTAGATGGCATTGACAGAGAAATATCTGGATCATTGGAGTTTGGCGAATATTACGCTAATCTACATAGGCATCAAGGTAGAATCTAAAATATCTATTAAAATTAGAATAAAGCCATTTTCCGTTTTAGTAGAAGGTGGTGAAATCACTCCAATATCCTACGGTTCTGAAGCTGAATTTAATACCAACGATGCCACAGCTGGTTCATCATCGGCCCCAGATTTTGATTTTACTATTACAGAAGAGATTATAGATAAAGATGATATAGAAATGATTGATAATGATGGTACTTTGACTAGTATGACTTCAAAATCTTTTATAGACAATTGTAATGCTTCTCGATCTAGTGCATTTGCTGTTATATCACCATTAAGTCTTAATGTTCGCATCTGCAATAATGACCTTGGTGGTGATCAAAAACTAAAATCCAATATTAAAAGAGCCCAATCCTTATATACCAGAAAAAGTGATATGGATACGGTTGATATTAGAAATTTATTGAAAGATTATGCTAAATTTGATAAAGGGGCTTCAACTTCAAATCCCAATGTGAATATCTCCAATGTGGGCTGTTTGAAATGGAGCACAAGCAAAGAAAAATTCTTTGATATAAACAAAGAAACTAAAACAGACAATATTGACTTTGGGAAAAATCTTAATACTGGCGCTAGCAAAAAAATTGATAAAGACTTGGATCCAGGGTCTATTCTCGTTAAAGAAGGATTTATAGATCCTCCAAAAATATCCCGAGTATCTAAAAGCTTTCATGGAAATTCTAGTAATTATTTAGATATAGAAAGTAGCCCTAGAAGAGCGAGTGCTATTCCATTAGCCAATAAAATTCAGAATGATACTTCATATAAAAGTAGGCCACAATTTGTTACCCAATTATCCCAACCTTGTTCAGAAAGCATTAAAATGTTGGGAAATATGCCTATTAGAAACAATTCCTTGTCAACTGATTCTGTAAGTAGGTATATTTTCATGTTTTGGAAGCTCCTAATTCCTAATTACTTTTTTAGGTTATCAAAAGTCCTAGATTTACTACAATTAAAGTGGATGAAGAGGAGCATGCAGCATCCGTTGGTGCAGTTTATGCAAAAAGAGCCATGAAGAATGAACAAAGTAATTCCGAAATGGAAAGTTCAGGCAAAAGAAAGAATTTAGACGATAAGTTAAACTATGAGTAGTAAGTCGATAGAACCCCAAATTTTATTTTAATAGATTGTAAATTGAAAGCAAATAAGAATAGAGTTTAGCGAAATTGAATCAATCATTGTTGACCTAATCAATGTCCATTAGTATTATCTGGAAAAGTATTAAATATCTTTATGTACACATTAATTTGTATTTTTTTTTATTATGGAGCTTGAAAAAATGGAGGTGTCTTAAAAAAATGCACTAGAAAGTGAGATAGTTATTAACGTTAGAAAGCCGATAAATCGCAAATAACACCCGAGTTTGAAATCTGAGGCGATATCCTAGGATTATGATCAGTCATGGTTGTAGGAAGGTTAGCATGTTATTTATTAGTACATGATGTGATATATGTATATTAATAGGACGGAACTTGTTGCTGGTCTTGTCAGCATTATTGTCATTCTAGTCTAGTCTAGTCAAATCTTATAATATCTTGTAGCTCCATTATTTCATTATAAAGTTTATTTAAATTATATTATTATGGTTTATTTAATTAATTATGAACAACCATAATTAACATGGCGCAGTCGTGAGTCGAGTGGAGAAAAATAAGTTCTTGTGAGTTGAAATAAGAAATCAAGTGAAATAAAGATAACCATGGGAGATAGCAGAGATGTAGCCCCCATGCAAATGTCTGGAAATGTTGCAGAAAATTGGAAAATGTGGAGGTCTCGCTTTGAGAACTATTTAATAGCAAGTGAAATCAATAAAAAGGACGAATCCATCCAATGTGCTCAGGCTCTGCATTTCATAGGTGAAGAGGGCTTCAAAGTGTACACTACTTTTCAATTCGCAGACAATGAAAAAAATAAACTGCAATTTTTATTAAATAAATTTGAAGCACATTTTCTTCCAAAAGAAAATCTGACATATGAAAGGTATAAATTCTTTTCATATAAACAACTCCCTGGACAAGCATTAGATCAGTATGTTACCGAAATGGCAATAAAATGTCAATTAGGAAAGCTACAGGATGAGCTAACCAAAACTGTGTTGATCTGTGGAGTGAACAACTGTTCCATTAAAGAAAAACTCCTTCAAGAGGATGACACGGTAAGCCTTGACAAAGTAATTGAAAAATGTACAATTTTAGAGATATCTAAGGAGCGAAGCGAATCAATGGCAGGTGGCTTCAATAGTATGTCCTCAGGTATGTCAGTAGATGTTGTGCGAAAAAACCAATTCAAGAAAAAAGGCGTAATTCAAGAGAAAAAGCAGGACAATACAAAGAAAATTAATGATTGTTCCAGATGTGGTATGTCTCACCCAATAAATAAGTGTCCGGGTTTTGGTAAGCAGTGTAATTTTTGTCACTACAAAAATCATTTTGAGTCCAAATGTATTAAAAAGAAAAATAATAATAGCAGAGTAAGGGAAATAGTTGAAGAAGTAAATGAAATTCGACCACTTCCTAAATACTCAGATAATTTAGAACAGTCTGTATTTATAGGTTCTATAAATCATATAAACTCAATAAATAATGAATGGATAACAAATTTAGATATAAATAACAAAAATATTAAATTGAAAATTAACACAGGCGCAATGGCAAATATAATACCTTTTAGTATTTTGAAAAGTTTAGATTTGTCCTATAAAATTATAAATAAAACAGAAATTAAATTAAAATCATACACTGGTGACGAATTGAATGTATTAGGGAAATGTAAATTAACATGTTTTTAAAATGATAAATTATATGATTTAGAATTCTTTGTGGTAAAAGGTAATACTCCAGCAATTTTGGGTTTGGCTGCATGTGTATCTTTAAATTTAATTAAACGAATTGATCATGTAAATTTACAAGTTGGCGAATATTCAAAATTACTAAATTCATTCGGTGAGATATTTATAGGAACAGGGTGTATAAATCAAAAATGTTCCATCAAATTAGAAGCCAACAGCCAAGCAGTCGTTCATCCAATCAGAAGAGTAGCTTTTCCTTTAATGGAACCATTAGAGAAATGCCTAAATGAATTGTTAAATACGTTAAATGAAAAAATTATAGAGAAAATAGATCTTAATAATGCAATTAGAAGAGAACACTGCAAAATTCTTTTGAGGAAATTGCGATTAATTTAGCTGGTGCGACCATTTTTAGTACGCTTGATGCCACAAATGGATTTTACCAGATACCTTTGGACGAGGAGAGCTCTAAATTATGTACCTTCGGGACGCCCTTTGGTAGGTTTAGATTTTTGAGGCTTCCTTATGGTGTTAAGTGTGCACCAGAAATATTTCAAGATCGTTTTAGGAATATTTTTGGAGTAGTTGAAGGTGCTGATATCTACATTGATGATATCATTATATGGGGTAAAAATAAAATCGAACATGATAAAAGGTTAAAGAAAGCCTCAGAGGTAGCTAGAGAGAACAATGTTAGGTTTAATTTAAATAAGTGTAAGTTTGGACAAAAAGAAATTAAATATATGGGGCATGTTATTAATGTTGAAGGAATCAGTCCAGACTTTTCTAAAATTAAAGCGATTTCTCAGTTACCTAGACCCAAAAATAAACAGGAAATACAACGATTTTTAGGAATGCTTACTTATGTAAGTAGATTTATAAAAAACTTTTCTGATAAAACTGAACCTTTAAGAAGTATTTTGAAAAAAAATATTGAATTTATTTGGGACGAGAAAAAAGAAGAAGCATTTTCAAATTTAAAAGAAGTTCTTACTACTAAACCTGTTTTACAATTCTTCAATATAAATAAATCTACTACCATCTCGGTAGATTCGTTAAAATCAGGGATAGGGGCTTGTCTTTTACAGGAAAATCTTCCTTGTGCTTATGCCTCAAAAGCACTAACTGAAACGAAGACACGGTATGCACAAATTGGAAAAGAATTATGTGCCATATGTTTTGGTTTAAATAAATTTTATCAGTATGTATTTGGACGTAGAGTTATTGTGGAGACAGATCATCAACCATTAATCTCAATTTTTAAGAAACCATTAAACAAATGCCCTGCAAGGTTGCAAAGAATGTTATTACAAATTCAAAAATTTGACATAGAGTTACGTTATAGACCTGGTAGAGAATTGCTCTTAGCAGATGCTTTGTCGCGTGCGTTTCTAACAGACACACAAGTTGATGATTTGGATGATGATCTAGAAAGCCAGATTTGTTTGGTTACAATGGAATTAAATGCTACACCCGAAAAAATTAATCAATTTAAATTAGAAACTGAAAAAGATCAAATTTTGAAAGACCTCAGGGAAGTAATTTTAAACGGGTGGCCTAATTCTAACAAAAAACTCAAAAATCATATCAAATTATTTTGCCCTTTCAAGTCGGAGTTAACAGTTGTAGATGGACTAATTTTTAAAAATAAATCTTTGGTAGTACCGTAGTGTCGGTATACTTTGCTATCAAAGGTGACTTTGCTAGAGTTGACTTTTTTTTTTGTAAAAATATTTTTTGTAACGCCAATGGCAGAAACCTAGCGGAAATTGTAGGAACTATTAAAGAAAACGTGGTTAACTTGTTGCAAATAGTTAGACTTGCGATTGTTGCGCTATGGTGCTAGTGAACACATGCTGCATATATAAGGTAAGAATTTTACGATTTTTAATTCCTAAAATAGTAAGACTTGTGACACCTATATGAATACGATTGGCCCAAAATAAGTCCTTTTGCTAACATATACACTTCAATGGCTAATGCTTGGGAAAATTTGAACTATTTAAAAATAATAATTTTTGAGATTTTAATTTATTTTAAAAAAGTGTGTCCTTGCAAGCCACTCGTAGGTGTCTTTGCCATATATATTTCTTACCGTTTTTGGTTTTTAGATCAAAATATGGGTCGGATATACAAAAAAAAAATAGGCAGCCGGCATTACAAAAACTATAATGAAGATACTGTAAAAGAAGCAGTACGAAATATCTTAAGCAATGACTTGAGTTATCGAGAAGCATCCAAGAGATATATAATCCACGAAGAACACTATGGAATAAGTGCCACAATAAGCACTTGAAGAAACTTGGTTGACCACCTAGTATTACTGAGCTAGAAGAACGTCATATAGTAGATGTTTTATTTGCATCCGCAGAATATGGTAGCCCAATGACGAACTTGGAAGTTAGGTTGGTGGTGAAACGCTATTTAGACAAAGCGGGACGTGTTATTCCAAAATTTCTAAGCAACACTCCAGGAAGATATTGGTGTCTGAATTTCATAGACCGAAATAAGGACAAGCTTACTAAAAGAAGTTGTCAAAACATCAAGGGAGTTAGGGCGGAAAAAAAGTGAGGAAGAGCTGAAAGCATATTTCAAAAATTTAAAGAGAAGTTTAAAGGGGGTTCCACCAGAAAATGTGTTAAATTATGATGAAACTAACCTTTCTGATGACCCGGGTTCAAGAAAATGTATCTTTAGAAGAGGAACCAAATATCCAGAGAGAGTCTTAAATGTATCAAAGTCGGCCACTTCAGTTATGTTCGCAATTACAGGCGATGGGAACAGTTTACCACCTTATGTTGTGTACAAGGCGGAACGAATTTACGACCAATGGGTTTTAGTTGCCCCCCCCCCCCCAGATACGATACAACCGCAGTAAATCGGGATGGTTTGACGCTTATTGCTTCGAAGACTGGTTTCAGACCATTGCCTTACCCTGGGCCAAGAAAAAAAAAAGGAGTAAAGGTAATAATTGGTGACAATTTAAGCTCACATCTGAATGTAAGCATGATTGTCGCTTGCCAACAAAACCAGATCAGATTCGTATTCCTGCCACCACAGTCTACACACCTTACGCAGCCGCTCGACGTTGGATATTATGGCCTTCTTAAAAAAAAAATGGAAACACCTGCTGACAGAATATAAAATACAAAATATTAGTGGAATTTTTTTTTTCTACTTGCGTGCGCAAAGTTATTACTTTACGCACTCATTTGCGTGCGCAAAGTTGAACTTTGCGCACGGAAACTCTTTGCGCACTCATTTTTGTTACGCATAGTTACCGCATTTATACTCGATTTCTCAATGTTATGTGGGTTTCTGGAAAAACTTATCTATTCAGAAAGAAGGGCATGATGTTATTTTTGTTCCAAGAAAGACATTCAGGTAATGTTTAGCTTTTTTAATTTGACACTTTCCATATAAGGAGCGAGGGGAGGAAAAGTCCAGCAAAAATAGATGTGAGGTCAGGTGACCGTTGGCATGGGGAGTCACCAACTCACATTCATTTAGAGTATCAGAATATAAAAGTTGGACTGTAAGTTATAGTCCTCCATATACTCCTCAACTTAATGCTGCTGCGGAAAGAATGAATCAGACACCAATAGACAAAGCAATATCCCAAAAATGGATAATATATTTTCGGAAGATGCTGTACTTGTGGCTACGTTAAACTAATTTAACAAGTTACATGAAAAAATATCATCCTGGTAAATCAAGTCTCAATTTGGCAAGAAAAACAAACTCAACGACTTCTTCGAATTTTAAGCAAACCTCGCTAATACAACCAATGTTGCAAATAAAGTCAAGCTGATCACTGAAAAAAATAAATAAAAATTGAAAACACAACACATTGAACTA